GTGCTGACATAATGTCGCTGTTCGTGAAATGGTCCACTTTCCCCGTTGTCTCGTTTTTAAACATGAAATCTGTCTCTTTTAGTCGAAGTTTTCCGGGATATACATGGCCACGCAGCTCTTCGCTGATATTTTCGAAAAACATATCCGCCATGGCGAAGGTTCGCAAGTTCGCTGATGCGCCACCACGAACAATCGACAATCGTAAATCACCGGAACACCAAAGACCGAGCAGAAGGAACTCGGAGACCAAGTTATATATAGGTTAAAAGTCAGTGACTGCAGGTCGAAAATCACTAAAACAAGTAAAAGCTATCTTTGAGAAGGAATTTGCGCGGGTAAGAAGCCAAACCTAGGACTTAAAGACGCTTAATTAAGACAGCATATAAAATGAGTCGTCAAATAAATGCGCAGGGAATTGTGGGAACGACGAAAACGTCCGGACACACTTATTATATTATGCAACCTTGAATTGACGACGTAGTTCTCGACATAATTCGAGAATAGAGGTAAAGGTAGTGTAGGCTTTTGTACACTTTTGATTTGTTTCACTACATTTTCTTGTACACCTGACCTGCCTGTACATTTGTTTGACTAAACGAAAATACACAGAACAACGCTACGGCGGTCAACATGTGTTCTGGTTTCGAGCGTGTTTAACGTCGTTATTTCTTGGCGTGCGCTTGTCACCTCTCAATACTCTTAGCAAGTCGTACGTGCTGACGGAGACTTCCTCCTCAAAGCCGACTTCAGCGTATCATCGCGGAACCTAGAGCCTCCCTTCAACCAGTTCCTCATCGGGACACTATCTCTCTACTTGATAGGATTCTACTTTAAGTGAGTCTGGAACATTCCTTTTCTGGTTCTTTCAATCTGTACATTCTTTTTTGTTGGTAAACACAATTCCCCCATACGGAGTTAGTTTTTCCTGCATATATTACTGTTTGTAGTTCTAAGTCCACATTTCCTCTACAAAACTGGTGACCCCGCTTTTCCTGCATTCCGAACCTTTTTTTATTTACCATGGCCAGTGACGACTCCCAAAAAGACTCACTCGACATTAACACCCTTTCTTTTAAACTGCCACCGTTTACCCCGAGCAATCCTCGCGTTTGGTTCAGGCAGATCGAGGCTCTTTTTGTGACAAGCCGCATTACTAGCGAGCGTACCCGCTATTCGTACGTTTTGCAGTCCCTCCCATTTTATGTAGCTGTCGCCGTCGAAGACCTCCTTAACCCCATTCCAGCCGACAAACCGTATACGCTGCTGAAGGAAGCGGTAATCCAACGGGTAGCTAAATCGGCCAACCTTATGCTGCGGGAACTTTTCACGCAAGTAGAGCTAGGTGATCAGACACCTTCCCAGCTCATGCGTCACATGCGCTCACTTCTCGCTGGTAGGCACATGGATGACGCCATTTTTCGCGAGATTTGGTTAGAAAAGTTACCGGTGCCTATGCAACAGGTTTTGGCTATGTTGGACTCGAATACACCTTTAGAGAAACTAGCTACCCACGCCGACAGAATCAAGGAGTGTTACCCCATTGGTGCCTCGTGTTCCACTATTCAACAGCCACCGCCTTCCAAAGGCAAGCCCCATCAGGACATTGACTCTGATTCAGAAGGCCCACCATTACCAGAGCACGACACTCCCTATACGGAAAAATCGTCATGCTGTTGCACAACCCGACGAGCGCCCACATCAGCCGGTCCTCCCAGAACACCCACCGCCGCTTATCGCACCGAGTACGACGACCTGAGAGAGCAACATGTGCTCTGCTCTTAACAGTCTTCGAGCGGCTAGAAAACAGCCATACTCACATCGTCGGTCTAAATCCCGTGAGCGGCGTTCACTACCCTTATGTTGGTATCATCGCACTTATGGCCCGAAAGCCCGAAAGTGCATACCTCCTTCTTCGTTCGCTTGTCCTCCACAGTTAAACGACCACGCCAGCCAGTAATGGCGACGACTGCTGCTGGCCCGTCGCGACCCAGTCGCCTTTTCTATATCAACGACAAGTCGAGCGGCCTTCGTTTCCTGGTCGATACCGGTGCCGAGGTCAGTGTCATCCCGCCTCTAAGGTGTCACCGCCTCAAGCCATCGCAATTCTCATTGCAGGCTGCAAATAGCACCACAATCAGCACCTACGGCCAACGGTCCCTCACTTTAGATCTTGGTCTCCGGCGACGTTTTCAATGGGTCTTTATTGAGGCTGACGTCAAATCGTCTTTTTGTCATCTTTCGGCTTAACAGTCGATGTCAGACACCGTCGCCTCACAGACACCACCACCCAACTCTTTACTATAGGTACCATTAGCTCTGAACGGTCGGTTGGCATTCATCTCACCATCCCCAGCACCCCTTTCGCTGACATTTTTAAGGACTACCCGTCCATCACTAAACCATGTCATTTTACCGAAACCGTTCAACACGGAGTGAAACACCACATTGTCACGGCAGGGCAACCAGTGCACGCTCGTCCGCGTAGACTCCACCCTGACAAGCTCCGAATAGCGAAGAACGAATTTGAACATATGATGAATCTGGGCATTATACGCCCATCATCTAGCCCATGGGCCTCACCACTGCACATGGTGCCAAAGAAGTCCCCTGACGATTGGAGACCGTGCGGTGATTATCGAGCCCTAAACAGGTCCACAATCCCTGACCGGTACCCCATTCCCCACATTAATGACTTTTCCTGCATGTTAGCCGGTAAAACTATTTTTTCCAAGATAGACCTCGTCAGGGCGTACCACCAAATCCCGGTCGCTGAGGAAGATATCCCAAAGACTGCTATCACGACACCCTTTGGGCCGTTCGAATTTATTCGCATGCCTTTTGGTTTGCGCAATGCTGCCCAGTCGTTTCAGCGCTTTATCGATGAGATCTTGCGGGGCCTTCCATTCGCTTACGCCTACATCGACAACATACTCGTCGCAAGCTCTTCGGCAGAGAAACATGCCTCGCATTTACGCCTCATATTCGATCGTTTCCAGCAACTTGGTTTGCAATTAAACGTCGACAAATGCGTTTTTGGCGTTAATTCTCTCGATTTCCTTGGCCATCACGTCGATCAGCACGGAATCACTCCACTTACAGAGAAGGTGCAATGCATCTTGTCCTTCCCTGTTCCCAACACACTCACTCGGCTGCGACGTTTCATAGGCCTTATCAACTATTACCGACGTTTTATTCCCCACTGTGCGGCAATCCTGGCTCCCTTGACTGACCTTTTGAAGTCGAAAGCAAAACCTATTGAACTTTCACCGGCAGCCCATACAGCTTTTGAGGAAGCGAAGAAGGCTCTTGCCGATGCCACCATGCTACATCACCTCAGCTCTGACGCTCATGCACAGTTCATTTTGACCACCGACGCTTCCAGTAGTGCTGTCGGCGCAGTCTTGCATCAACAGGTGAATAACCATTTGCAGCCTTTAGCTTTCTTTTCACAGAAGCTACAACCGGCGCAGTCTCGGTACAGTACTTTCTCTCGTGAGCTCCTTGCCATCTACTTGGCCATACGTCACTTTCGACACCTTTTAGAGGGCAGAGACTTTTCGGTCCACACCGACCACAAGCCGCTTACTTACGCCCTGAAGGCCAAGCCAGATCGGTACTCGCCCAGGGAAGTTCGTCACCTGGACTATATTTCGCTGTTTACTGCCGATATCCGCTACGTCCGAGGCAGCGACAATGTCGTTGCTGATGCATTATCCCGTCCGGACATCAACACACTCAAATCCGATTTCGACCTGGCGAGGCTTGCAGACCTCCAAACAGCAGACGAGTCCATCGCGGACTTACGTACGTCTACTACTCTGCAGCTTCGAGATGCACCACTTCCTGCGTCACCAGGTACGATTTTGTGCGATTGGTCCACAGGCACCCCTCGTCCTGTTGTTCCACTATCCTATCCTAAGGTCGTCTTTGACCACTTTCACTCCCTCTCTCACCCTGGCATTCGCGCTGGACGTAAGTTAATTGCGGCTCGTTTTGTTTGGCCGAAGATGAATTCCGACATTGCTCTTTGGACCAAACAGTGTCTCGCATGCCAGAAGAACAAGGTTCATCGACACACTTTCTCCCCTCCAAGTACCTTTGCGGTCCCGGACGTTCGATTTAATCATGTTCACTTGGATTTAATCGGACCGTTACCCCCTTCTCGTGGATACACACATATCCTGACTGCAGTTGACCGTTTCACACGATGGCCGATTGCCGTTCCTATCTCGGATACCTCGGCAGAAAATATCGCCATGGTTTTTCTGACCCACTGGATCTCAACTTTTGGTGTTCCAGCCACCCTTGCCACCGACCGCGGAAGCCAATTCCACTCTAGCCTCTTTGGTGCGTTCACTAGACTGCTCGGGTGCGCGCACATCACAACCACGGCATACCATCCTGCCTCCAACGGCCTCGTTGAGCGTCTACACCGCCAACTGAAGTCCGCACTGATGTCCCAAACAGAGTCAGCTACTTGGAGTGTCAATCTCCCTCTTGTGCTTTTGGGCATCAGATCTTCTGTCAAGGAGGACATCCAATGCACTGCCGCCGAACTTGTGTACGGTACACCCCTCCGTCTGCCCGGCGAATTTGTGCAGCCTTCCACAACAAACACTTACATCACGAGCACCTTCGTACAGCAGTTGAAACAACGCATGGCTCAACTGCGTCAAACCCCCACTCGTCTGACCTCGAAACATGTGTTTGTACACGAGGACCTTAAATCCGCCCCCTTTGTTTTCGTCCGGCACGACGCAGTGCGCAGGCCCCTTTGTTCTCCCTACGATGGCCCATATAAGGTCGTTCAGCGGAATGACAAGTTTTACGTCCTTCAAAAGGCTGATAAGACTGACACGGTCTCCATTGACCGCCTTAAGCCAGCCTATCTGGAGTGCCTCCCCTCGATCAGTGCGCCATCCATCCCCCCTACTATGTCCTCTCCCGATACACCCACTCCGCTCACGTACCCTCCATCACCACACTTGAGCATTCTACCCACTCAGCCGGATCCTCCTCCTACACCACCGCCTATTTAATCTAGTTTCGGTAGACTTATCCGTTTTCCCGCCAGACTCAAAGACTTTGTATTGTAATTTTTTTCCGCGTTTTATTTTATCGAGCGTTTTGTTTCTTTGGCAAACGCTCTGGTGGGGAATTGTGTAGGCTTTTGTACACTTTTGATTTGTTTCACTACATTTTCTTGTACACCTGACCTGCCTGTACATTTGTTTGACTAAACGAAAATACACAGAACAACGCTACGGCGGTCAACATGTGTTCTGGTTTCGAGTGTGTTTGACGTCGTTATTTCTTGGCGGAGACTTCCTCCTCAAAGACGACTTAAACGTATCATCGCGGAACCTAGAGCCTCCCTTCAACCAGTTCCTCGTCGGGACACTATTTCTCTACTTGATAGGATTCTACTTTACGTGAGTCTGGAACATTCCTTTTCTGGTTCTTTCAAACTGTACATTCTTTTTTTTTGTTGGTAAACACAATTCCCCCATTCGGAGTTAGTTTTTCCTGCATATATTACTGTTTGTAGTTTTTAAGTCCACAGTTCCTCTACAATAGAACCACCAAGAGTTTCAACGTCATGTTTAACTTGTGGTTTCATTTTATTTTATTTTTCGATACCTGTTGAAGGTAATATATAAAGCCTTCTAGAATCCTATGGCGTTCATGCTGATGCCTCATGTACAAGATTGTCACTATTGTACTAATTTGTACTGTTTTGTTTTTAAACAAATCCGCGTAGGGTTCTGCGCGTTGAGAAAAGGAACATATATAGCCATCCCAGCGTTTCTTGAAGATCTGCAGGGACGTTACCTCCACATCAGATTAAGGAAGATCATTCCCCTGTTCTAGTAACCTTTGCGTAAATAATTTCAAGTAAAATTTCAGCCCGCACATTGTAGTTTGTGGCTTGTAGGTCTATGCACATTTTCGATTCCTCACTGGAAACTTTCTTGTACACCTGAACTCCTCTGTCCGGTCGTTTGAGTAACCGAAAAAAATACACACAACCGGTTTCGGTCTGAGTTATCGCTTGTTTGGTGCCTGACTGCGACGTGGTGTCAACACTTCATTCATTTCACTCACGGGCCCTTATCCCTTTTTAGTTAATTCCCACGTGACATTTTTATTTCTCGGAGATATCTCGTCGGACGTGAATTCGCCTGAGCAACAAGCTGCAGCAACCGACTTCGGCTCGGAACATTCCGAACTTCATCCGGATCATGCACTCCACGACGACTGGTATTGCAGGAGGCCTTGTTTTCCTGTACAGTTTTTTACTTTTACAATTTTCCCATTTTTAGTTTATTTTTTTCTGTATGAAACACAGCACCCCCCACCTAGAGTTAAGTTTTTGCTGTACTCATTTTTCTTTGTAGATTTAATTACCGTTTACACTGTAAGCTTCGCTGAATGTCCATGGAGAGAAGGTTTCATTGGCATAACGGTCGCCGACGTCCAGGATAGCACACATGGGACAAAGAGAATACCTTGAATGAGTCCTGATTTAAAACAAAATATGTGGAACTTTTAGACGCCACACATGTAATTCGGGGTCGAAAAGGAGTAAAGAAAGGATAGCAGCACTACCATCTCGTCCTCTTAAAGTTGTGCTGGAGAACAAAGAGCAAATCAAGTTGATTTGGGCCAAAAAGCCAGTCCCAGGAAATCCCGTATGTAGATTTTTTTCCTCCTGGCTACTCTCCATCCGAACGGCCGGAAAGCCGGGAACTTGTCTCGGAATTAAAATCAAGACTAAGGGG